GATCCAGACTTTGCAAAAATTCAAGTTATCTCCAAGAATCCATCAAGGCTACCAGCAATTACCAGTTACTGCTTAAGGCTACTCTTTCCTTAACACCCAGGCATACATTTGCTAATTTGAACACCACTGCTCCACAATTGGCTTGCAAAATCCATCAGGCAGAGAGCAGGAAGTAGCCAAAGACAAAGCAACATACCACTGAAGAACCATTATTGCCTTTAGAAATGCTAATGAGACAGCAGAGATTACAAAAAGAAAGAAAAAAAAAGTTCCAAGTGGCCTCAGACGCCATCTTTGATCTGGCCACATGGTCCAATGTACTGCCTAATCTTTTGAGTAAAACTGGCACAGAACAATTTCCACAAAATCAAATGTCTTAGCAAGTCACTACAAACAAATTACATACAGACACACAGAATCTTCACAAAGCCCAAGCCAGTTTTTCAACAGCAAATCTGTTATATGAAACAAACACACCGGAGAAACCAAAAATCACATTTGCGCTTGTGGTAGCCAGTGCCATAGGGAAGCCCAATTTCCCATGGGGCTGACTAACCACGGATGGCTCTGTCCTAAATCACGTTGGACGCCAAATCTGTTATAGGACAGGGAGAGGGGCAGCCCAAGCCCCGCAAACCTGCCTATTCTAAATGGGTTCTGCCATCCGCCACATCAACACAAAACACATGAGACTTTAATGGGAAGGAACTTTAATAAAACTAGGAAACAATACAGGAAAGGCAAAGAGTCTAGTTTCTAAATGAAGCATCCAGAGTTACCCGTCCCCTCGTGGGTAAAAGTCCATCCATATGGGATTGGCCCAGAGCAAGGCCCCAAGGCCTGCCACAAGTCTAAAGCATCTTCCAGTGGAGACCCACAGAAAAGGGTCACAAACAACTGGACAAGCCCGGAAGGAAAAGAGCAAAATCAACATCAAGATAAAAGCTGCCATTGTCACCTCCCCATGGGTCTCACCCACATCTGTGTCACCCCGTCCACGACCAAAAGACAAGCGCAGCTTCTTCACGTGTCTCTAGGCTCCATGTGCCTCCTCCAGGTCTCCTGGCTCCATCCTGCTTCCTTCCTCAGTCTCTTCTGCAGCTTCTCCTCTTCCTGCTCAGCTCCACCCTCCCTTGGGAGGGGCAGGGAACCTCCCCCTTTTCCTGGGGACCACCCTGTTACAGATGGACTTTTACCCACGAGGGGATGGGTAACTTTGGGTGCTTCATTTAGAAACTAGACTCTTTGCCTTACCTGTATTGTTTTCTAGTTTTATTAAAGTTCCTTCCCATTAAAGTTTTATATGTTTTGTGTTGATGCGGCGGATGGCAGAACCCATTTAGAGTAGGCAGGTTTGCGGGGTTTGGAGTTTCCAGTGTCTTTGGCTTTGGCCTGGGGTGGGGGTGGAGTCCACAAGGGTTTGGGCTGCCCCTCTCCCTGTCCTAAAACAGTCAGACGACATGAGTACCATGGCTCCCAGCAGTTTGGGAGTGTTATTTTAAGAGCAAGAGGGTTTGTTGATCATGCCAATAGCCTAGCATCACTTTCATGAGCAGTGCTATGAGTTTTGCTCCAGGGGCAGCGACAAGGTGGGTCATGAGCCGGAGACTAGGTAAGGCTGAGGTCCCAGCATACTTAGGGATGCTGTCAACAAAACAGAAATCTTCCTAACTGTGGCAGGAGGAGGGTTATGTGGGCCTGGTTTGTGTCCTGGTCTCCTCCCTTCCAGGGCTGAGCTGGTCAGGTCTGGACTGGGATTCTTAGACCTCAACCTACTGCAATGTCTCTTCTGCCTGGGGTGAAAAACCAGCCTTCAAGATCCATCTCTCATCAACCTTGCTGTGCCAGCTCACACCATCAGTTTGGAGTAGGCTGATCCTAATTGTCCATCCCCCCACCCCCCCACCCTGTGTCCCACTCCCACCCTGTTATCCATTTTAGCAGCAGCTGATAGGTTACAAAACTGTAGCCATCTGCAAGTCACTGCTTTCCCGCCTGCATGGAGAGCACTCAGAGCCCCCTCCCCTGCCTTTAGTCTTTTCCTTCAGAAGCACATGAAGTCCAGGAGTTCAGCACTTTAACAAAGCAGCTTTGCTGCTTCCTTTGGAACTGTAACAGAGTGGTCCCCAGGAAAGGGGGAGATTCAGGTTTCCTGCCCCACCCAAAAGGAGGGTGCTGCTGAGCAGGGAAAGAAGAAGCTGCAGAGGAGTCTGAGGAAGGAAGGAAGCAGAATGGAGAGCCAGAAGGAGACCTGGAGGAGGCACATGGAGCCTAGAGACACGTGACGAAACTGCGCTTGTCTTTTGGTCGTGGACTGGGTGACACAGATGTGGGTGAGACCCATGGGGAGGTGACACTGGCAGCTTTTATCTTGCTTTTGATTTTGCTCTTTTCCTTCCGGGCTTGTCTGGTTGTTTCTGACCCTTTTCTGTGGGTTCCCGCTGGAAGATGCTTTAGACTTGTGGCAGGCTTTGGGGCCTTGCTCTAGGCCACTCCCATTTGGATGGAGTTTTACCCACGAGGGGACGGGTAACTTTGGGTACTTGATTTAGAAACTAGGTTCTTTGCCTTTCCTGTATTGTTTCCTAGTTGTGTTAGGGGGAAAAGGATGTCCTAGGCTGCTCTATAACAGTTGTATTAAAGTTCCTTCCCATTAAAGTCTCATATGTTTTGTGTTGATGCGGTGGATGGCAGAATCTATTTAAGAGCAGGCAGGTTTGCAGAGTCTGGGCTGCCCCTCTCCCTGCCCTGTAACAGATTCAATCTGGAAGGGAAGGAGGCTGTGGGTTCTGAGTCACCCTCAGGGATCCGTGGCAGGGAGGATGGGACAGGGCAGGAGTATTAGCAGGTTGACCTTTTCCAAACTCAGCCTTGCCTGTTGGAAGGTAACATGCCCAGTAGAGGATCCCTTAGGTGCTCGCAGTACTGGCAGTCCCACTGTGAATCTCAAGTTCATATTTGCACATGGATGGTTATGGCAGGTCCTTCATGACGTCTGCTGTGGTCTATGTGCCTGAGATATATATGAGACAGAGAAAGCCAGGTCATATTCAGGGAACCACCAAACAGCATCCACCGCCCTCACTCTATGATCACAGGTCAGGACAGAGGAAGGCTGAACGAAAACTAGCAATTTCAAACCCACATGGCAGAAGGGCCGTGACAGAGCTAAACTTCTGTGTCTTCCCCCTTCCAGGCAGCTCTGCATGGTACAGAATGCACAAAGATAACTTGGAGCTGCTTATTAACGGGCAACCCCTTTCTACCTCAATATTTTTAAAATATTCTTCAGGAAAGAAGTCTGTGAAGGTCTTACCCAGCTTCAGAACAATGCCTGCAGGAACCACCCACAGGGAGGCAGCATTTTAAAAGGCACAGACAGCTAGAGCTAGGAATTCATTCTGCTTTATAGAGTTTTCAGAGAACCAGTGGGTCACCTCTTGGCCCTCCTGTGACATGCTTTCATTTTGTTGCAGATATTAGCAGATTGAAAATGTGCGCAACATGTAAACCCTTGCTGACTTCCTTAGGGTCAGGCCAGGGGCTTAGCGGGTCTGGTGAATCCCACTTGTTAGTTGACTTTTGAGCACATTTTCTGCTCTCTGTACCACAGGCTCTTCATCTATGCACTAAGGGGGAAATCCAGCCCCCCGGATGATTCTGAGACTTGTGGGGTCCTGAGTATACCTTCTTGGTGTTTATTAAGTATGAGGCACCTGACCCACATTGAACTTGTGGAAAAGGGAGAAAGGCCAGGGGGCACCTCAGGAAGACAAGAGTCTGCTTATGGAAGAAGAGAGCTTGATTTTCCCCTTGCTGACCACACTGCCGCTTTCCCATGGCTGGAGCTGCCTCCTTCCCCTTCATCATCTCCCGCTGCTGATGCTCCTCCTGGCCCATGTGTCCCCAGGGCTAGCAGCTGTGTCAGCCCAGCACCCTCTCCGTTGGGATTGAGTCTGTAGGGTGGATGCTTCAGGCACAAAAGATGAAAGCGGGAGACTGTGGGGAAAGGCTTACATATGGACTCAAAGTCCACTCCCCAAATATCTCTGCCCCTGGTTTCTCACTGACTGGCCCTAAGGGGCCAGAGTAGTGCCCCAACCTCCTCTGAGCCCGAGGACATATGTTTTGTCGGTGAGGCTGCTTCCTCATTGCTCTTGGGAAAGGCATGAACTTGCCCATTGAATTAGCTGGACTCGCCCTCAGGAAACAGGATCTGCCATCTGTAGCAGTGAGAATCCAGGAAGGAAAGTCCTCAGCCAGGCTCAGTCTCCTCCTCTGTAAAGTGGGTTGGCTAAGTGGTCTTCTCCCTCCAGCGGCTGCTCCATAGCCCTCTAGGTGCTCAGGAACGGGGGTGCTGGGGTCCGGCAGCCTCTCCCAGGAGAGGAAGCTGGCGGCAGTGCATGGCCTTCACACCTGTGGCAGGTCACTCTGGGCGCCTTTACTGACCAGGACCTCCTGCTTCTCCCACAGAAAAGAAAGTGCACTCCATGGTTGTCTCCCTAATTGATGGAGCACTTTGGCCAGAGTCCTTTCAGGCTACCAAGAATGAAGTGAGTCCAGCCCACCTTTTCCAGCCTTTGGTCCAATGTTTAGTGATTTACACTTAACACGTTCATTGTCTTCGGCTCAGCGGCCTTGACAACTGGGAGGGACTGTTTACACTGTGGGTGTCAACAACTACATGAAAAACTAAGTAATTCAGAACAGGAGTCAACTGAGAAGTCTCATTGTGGAAGCTTGGGCAGGGCCATCCAGAGGATGGTTCTCTAACCCACCCCAAATATCTGGACAACATATGAACACTACAAAATGAGTAACGGTGTTGTATGAGCCCACAGACCTGGGGAATAGGTAGAACTTTCCATTCTAGAAAGTTGGGCTGGGTAAGGTGCTGAGTCTTACATGGCAAGAAGCCTGAACCTGAGGTCTGGGATGGGGTCCTGCTGGCCCCTCACTCCTGCTGTGGGTCCAAGCCTTCTGCTTTTCCTTGTAGCTCCTGGCAATTGCAGACAGCGAGGAGCACGTGGTTGGTGTGGACAGCGGATTCTATGATCTCAGGAACATCGCTGACTCAGTGAGAGAGGAGGGATGGTTTGGGGGTGGGATGAGGAGGTTCTTACCATGCCCACTCTTCACTTTTCCTGACCCGAACCACTCTCTGTTCCAGCTCCCAGCTAAGTCCTGCATTGAGCTTATGTGGAACCGACCGGTTACTGTGTGGGAGGTAAGAGCTGGGTCTCTTTTTTAAACAGAGGCATGTGTGCTTGTGTGTGTTTGACATTGTGCTTGGATGTGTGTGAGGATGTAGTGTACTGTGCAGTTTAAATGTGTGATATAAATACATATGTGTAAATGCTCTTTATTCCCAGTATTCATGAGCTAGAGTTGACATACAGTTCTATGTAAGGTGAAGGTATATCACATAATGGTTTGACATATAAAACTTGAAGTGATTAGCACAATAAGATTGTATAATTCTTTTATTAATCACAAAATAAGAGGTGTAATTAAAAATGAGGAAAAAATAATATAGTAGCAATGAAACCCAAGATCTTCTGACAAGTAGAATACTTCTGAGCCAATTTGGGATCACCCCAGAAGCACAGGGCTGATATAGAGTTGAAATATCAGTGTATTCCTCCCATCAGCCAAATGAAGAAGAGGAAATGATGATTTCAGTGTATGAAGAAAAAGTTCAAAGTCCAGTGTCTTAATACGGGCATAAAGTGACCAACATCCCTCCACGCAAACACTCCCAGCTGGCATCAGCTTCAGGGTTAATAGGAAGGCCTCTCCTGAGAGCTCGACCTAGACGAGGATGTCTGCTCTCCCAGAGGGTCCCGCAGCACTACAGTGAGGAGGTCCAGGCACTTCCCTTAGGCTACAAGGCCTCTCTCTGTAAGGGCCTGTGAGTGCAGGTTGTGCTGCCGCAGCCCTGGAGCAGACAGAGGAGGCCCACGGGTAAGCACGCCCTTCCCGGGAACAGCACACGGCCTGACCTACCACATCCTGACCCAGACAGCTGGCTCTGCCTCTGTGTCCTTGCCGGGAAGGCTGGAGCACCTCCACCCGGGTCAGACAGAAGGCTGCTCCAGCTGAGCTCTGCTGCCCGAGGCCAGCCCCAGGGAGCAAGGGACCCAGATCTGCCAGCTCCTCTGTTGTCTCCAAGAGGCAGAAAGATCAATACCCACTCTCCGCTCCGTGAGAGAGGGGAGGCCAGTGGACTGTGAAGGGACCAGCTCAGAATAGAAGCAGGCAGACTTAAGGAAGAGTCGTGGCGCTCATATTCCCATGACTGACCATGGCTCCTCTGCCCATGCTTGCCCAGGCGGGGAGGGTGTGGCTACAGAGCTTCCAGGATGGAAGAGTCTCTGGACTCATCCTGACTTCTCTGAACCTGTAACCTGCAGTGCCTCAAGTGGGCTGTGTTAGAAACACACTTGCCCCACCACCCACAGCACACATGGGTCTTTCCTTGTTTTAAGTCCCCACCCGTGCAGGCAACTGGCAGCCTGGTTTCTCTGGGCATGTCCAGGGAGACACCCAGGCAGGAGTGTCTGAGCAGCATGTGAACACACAGACAGGTGCGGAGACCAATCGTACCCAGCCAAGGTGACAGGAGCCCTCCCCACACTCCCTGGCAGCCTGGCCCAGCAAACCCTGCTCTGTCCTTGTAAACTGTCCTCTAGTCAACTGCTGCCACCCAGCGTCACAGTCATTTGTGGTAAAGTTCAAGGCAGACACCTACACTCCCCAAAACAGGAGGAGTCAACTGAGATAAATAGTGGCCAGGGAACCCTGGGGTACAGGTGTTAAACCATCTGGGCTCACCCTCCTCAACCCCACAGGACACCTCAGAGTCCAGGCAGAGTCTTCTGCTCCCTCCCTGGCTCCAGCCCACCCTCCCGCAGGGCACCATGGGGATGAGGAGACCATTTCCCTAATCCCAGCTGGCTGGATGGTGAGACCCGCAGATGGACACGAAGGCCCTGCAGATATGCCCTCTTCCCTCACCCTGCGGACCCAGAGGCTGGGGCCCGGGGCTACACTTCCTGCAAGCCCTTTTCTACTTTACTGGGTTCAGTCAACCAGTCCTCCTTTGGGATCTTTCTCTCAGGTCAACTGACAAAAGAAGCAGCTCCTGGTCACCTGGCCCCTCTGGCTCTGCCCAGATTGTTCTCATTCTTCACTGGTCAGGCAGTAATACTATGACTACTGCTTAACTGTAAGTAAGGCTTGCTTTTCTCATTCAAACTGATTGTCTTTCAATCTTTCATTATGCATGTTTCCAAACCTGCAGCAAATGGAACCAATTCTACTAGGAGATCCTCTAACTGGATTTCTCCATTAACAGCTAACCGATTATCACTTATCTATCTAGCTCCCTCTCTCTTTCTCTGACTCCAATAATCCGTCTTATTTTGAAGGTTTTCTAAGTAAATTAGAGTCCTCAGGCTATTCTACCCCCAACTTTGTCATTTTGTTTATGTCACTTTGTCATATTGCTTACAAGGGACCAATTTTCCTGAGTTGTCTTTTTGAAGTGCACACATCATCACATCGCAGGTATATTATGTGTGAGTCTCACAGATGCACACACACCCCTGCATAATGCAGACCCCATGAGGACACACACCATCACAGCCATTCCTCAGGCCCCCGCATCCTGGTGGCAGCTGCTCTCCACTTGTCCCATTTTACTCTACCAAATATAACCACCATGAATAGATGATCCTATATGCTTACCTCCCATCTACGTACACTTCCAAAGGGCATTTTTAATAAACGAGGGCACATGGAACATTAGATTGTCCACCCTTTCAAAGTATGCAAAGCCAAACCTCTTTCCTTGGTGTCCTTGATTGATATACAGATACTTCCTAATAAGTCAGGACACAGTCCCTACCCCAGGGCCTGTCCTGTTTTGGACCTCTCTGCAGGCAATTTAGAGAACTTCCCTGGGGTGAAGCAGAATTAGAATAGCCACAATAGGAGAGAACAGATTCAAAGGGGGCCAAGAAGTGGATTTTCTCCCAAAGAGGCTGTGCCAGACTGCATGTGGGGATGAGGAGGTGGGCAGAGATACCCCAACTGCTCTTTCCAGGTTCAATATGCAGCCTTGTCATGGGGGGCAGGCCTTGCTGAAGAGTGAGCAGTGAGGGTGCAGCCTGGCAGAAGTGGGTAGAGAAGCTGCACTGAGCCACTCTGTGTGAGAAAGTGCCTGAGGCTTCGGGACATCAGCCCACCTGAGTGTACCACATGCTTGATTTCTTAGCACAGGACACTCAGCTGACGTTCCTGCTCTCTCTGTTTCAAAGACTCTGCACTCCCCCTGCTCCTTGTGGTTCAGGCCCTTGTTAGGACAGGGACACTGCCAGCAGGTATGCTCAGGGGCCACAAAGGGACATCAGCAAGACGAGTGGGCCATCTAAGTCCAAGGATGACTGGCTGTGGTGTGAGGAGGGCAGGCAGGGCATGGGTCCCTGAGAGAGCCTGCCTCTGAGGACAGTCGCTCCATCCCCAGACGTACTGACATGCAAAACCACAAACGCAACAATGACAGGTGTTCTATTTTCCAGAAAAGAATTTTATCTGAAATTTAAGGGGAAATGTACTGATAGTCAAACATGGAATCCCATTGTTTTTGAAGACACTTGAAGGCCTACAAAATTAATCAGCAGGCACACTTTTGCCCACAGCCCTAGAGTCTTTTTTCTTCAAAGCATAGAATTTACAACCATCACACTAATAATGGCTGGAGGAGGGCTTGATCCAAGAGAAATCCAAACTGCCAAGTTCAAGGTGGTGCTGGCAATTCTAGGACTGACTGGTTCCTCCATTAATTGACTGTATCAACTGGGCAAATCAAGCTCAGGGCACTGGAATTAGCTAGACATGAGACTGAGGCACCAGTGGAGAATAATGACCTTGACATACAGCAAGAAGGCCTTCCCTGCATCTTGTGTAAATCCCTGCAGCCAAACCCACAGCTGCCATCACTGTGTCCCCTGGTATTTGTTCCAGGGGAGGGGATCCCCAGTGTCCAATAAAGGGGTAGGACGGATGTCCCTTAGCAAGTCACTCCCCACACAGCAGAAGGAAGAGCTTTCCATGAATACCTGGGCAGGGAAGTAAGGCAGCCCCAGAGGATCAGTAAGAGGTGGAAGAACAATCATGTTCAGGGATCTGCCTCACAGCTAAGGGAAGGGGTATTCTTTGGTACAAGATCAGCTGCTCCTTGCTTGTCTTACCGGTGTCCCACCTTATTCCTCAGCTCCTCAGTCTGCCATAGGCACTCAAAAAGACAGGGAAGAGAAACAAACCACCAAATGTAATATCATTTCACAAGCAGCCAGACCAGTCTGCTCACTTCAGGCAAGAGGCAGAGTGGTGCAGCCTGCACTGTCTTGCTCCACTCTCCTTTATGATGGTGGTCTGGTGGAGGCTGGAAAGCACTGCCTGCACCCCTTAGGGAGCCTCAGGACTTAAAGGTTGGAGACCCAAGATGGGTTTATTCATAGTTGGGACCAGGTGGAGGCTTGAATGGGCTGTGCTGGTTAGCAGCTGTGGGGAGAGTGCCCAAGAGCTCCGCCAGCCTCCTCACAGTGGCCCCTCAGAAACACCAGGTGAGCCTCAGGAGACACCCAGATGTTGGTTCAGAAAAGCTGCCTCCTGCAGGAGTCCCTTGGGGGCTCCATTTTGGGGGCACACTTCCATAGTATGAGTTCAGTAGACAACAGAGCTCAGCCCTCCTTACACATATCATTGGATCTTGTCCTGGCAGAAAATTACGATGTAAGTGTCTTCGGAAGAGGTTTTCATAACACCAAAAACAAAAAAGAAGTTCTTTGCAGATTTCAGATAAGTGACACCATATTTTTTGCTAAGTCCCTCCCTTGATTTGTGCAAGTACCAAATTTCCCACAGACACTGTCTTCCTCAGCCACCATCCCTCAAAACACTCGATGCCCATTCCCTATGGGTGCTGTGAGGTTAGAGGCAGCGCCGAGAGTGGAAGGAGGGGCGTGAGTGGGATCCATCCATCCCCAGAGCCACAAAAAGGTCTGGGGTCAGGGCTGCTCCCTGTGAGGAGGGTCTTTCCTCAAGTTGAGTCCCCTGAGCTTTCCTCATCTCTCACTTTCCCTGAGAGACAAGGACCCCAATCTCACGAGTCGGCCAGGTAGAACTTATAGCAGTCCTGGGCTCTGAGTACATGCCAGGTGCACTGGTAGCTTTCCCAGGAGGGTATATGCACCTTCGACTGAGAGAAGAGGCCAAGCACCAGATCCAGGTCCTGAGATGTGGCACAGGCACACATTACTGTGTGCCCTTGACCATGTGAAAGTTCCCTTCTTGCTCTATTTTCTCTACTGTAAAATGGGAGCTATAAAACAGCTGCACTAACTAAGCTCTATGACATATGGAAGCCATTATCTGGCGATACTCGCACATCAGGTGTATCTACATGATGGAGGAGTGGGCTGAGGGAGCACACAGCTAGGAGAGGCCGGTGCCCTTCCCTGGTGCTGAGGTGGGTGTGATCATCCCTACAGAGTGTCTGGGGTGCAATTGGATTTCCTGAGATTTCTCAGTAGCCTCTTGAAAATGTCATTTCATTTGATGTGATATTAAGTGAATGCCTATTGCAGAATCGTGATAAATCCAGAGCAACTCCTCTCCCTCTGTGCACTCCTAGACCATCTCTCCTTGCTGCCAAGGGTGCAGAGAAGAGAGCAGGGAGTGCCACTGCCACACCCAAATTCACAGTGTATAGCTGGCCTCAGGGAATTAAATTTCCTTTGTTCTATATTTCTCAAGAGTGGTGTAGGGACTGAGAACTCCATCATAGAGAAGAAATGCATGCTCAGTGGCGAGTGTTCTCAGGGCTCTACATGCAATATCCTGATTCTCAAAAGAGGCCTATTAGCACATGAAGCAGGGTCAGCTGAACATTTTGCCCAACATCTTGATGCTACAGGGGGGCACATATCAGCCTGCATCTGTCTATAAGTGCAGAGATAATGTTTCCATGAGGGTCATTAGAAGTCCAATTAAACAGAAGGCCAGGGTAAGGATTGTCTTATGGAATCACTGTGGTGGAAAGCATGTGGCCCTTGATTCTGAATCCCAGATGGGAAGTATGGGACCCTGCGGAGCTGACCAGGGTGTGTGGAGGGGTAAATCAGACTGTGCCTTCACCACTTGCCCACAATTCAGGGGTGGAAAGAATTGGAACTCAGAAATAAGCAGGATCCACAACTATAATTCAGGGTGCTCTTTTGAGTCTTGTGACAGCCATGCTCAAATAAAATAACAGTAAATAAAAGCAAAGGAAGAAAATCACTAACCCCTTCTCAGAAATTCCCTGTGTCTGTACATAGCATCACCATCACCCAGTTAAACTGGTCAAAACCTGCATGTCATCCTTGATCCCTCTTGGCTTTTATTCCCATATTCAGTCCAGGGTAGATCTTATTTCTTCAATGTCTACAGCATGTGCTGAGATGGGTCACCCCTCAACAGACTCATTGTGTTTAGAATAAAACCCAAACTCCAGGACAAAGAGTTCTGTCCCACCTTTCACGTTACTTTTGCAAGGAGTCAGGTAGTGCTGCCTCAGGGCCTTGACACATGCTGTTTCCACAGGGCGGAACACTCTGCCCTGGGACCTTACCCTGGCTTTCACTCATCACACTCATCTCCAGGATAGCACCCTCACATATAACTTATTTCTAATGAAAATTTCAAAATAGGGCTTCCCTCACCATGCAAGAGGTTAGGCACCACACTGTGAAGCAATTTGCAGCCTCTGCAACATGAGTTCGATACCCGCCGACCACAGAGCAACCCACATGATGCAGCGGACCTCTCCTGTCTCGTCCACTGCTCCCCTCAGCAGTGTATTTCGGTCTGCCTGTTCTGTTCCCCACTCTGTCTCTGTTGAATCCTCACCAACCGCATCTCTGGACTGCACCCCAGGTCTTGTATGCATAAATAAACAAATTTTTAAAAAAATTTTGAAAATATATTTAAAAAATAGAATTATTGAAAAGAGAACTTGAAACAGCATCACTTAATTTCAGTAATTATCAAAAGAAGATAAGCAATTTTTTTAAACAAATACCAGCATGAATTCATTTAATGCATAAATATTTTAGTTTTCGGGCCTCCCCTGGTGCAGCAGTTGAGTGCTGGGCTGCGAAGCTGCCCATAGCCTCTGCAGCACCGGTTCGATCACCAGCTGGCGGTGA